AGTGGTTTGCCATTTCCTCCAGCTCATTTTACAGATGAAGAAACTGAGGCAAACAGGGTTAAGCAACTTGCCCAGGGTCACCCAGCTAGCAAGCGTCTGAGGCCAGATTTGAACTGAGGAAGATGAGTCTTCCTGATTCCAGGCCTAGTGCTCTTTCCACTGTGCCGCCTAGCTGCCCTATCAAAGCCAAGTAAGGTATAAAAAAGGGAGACAGCCTCTCCAATTGTGTTTGTATTCACTATACAAGACAATTTGTCTAGTAAAGAATACACCTGAAAGAGGGGTTCCCTACGGATTAGTAGTTCTTAACCTGTGAACTTTTAAAAAAGTATTTCAATAAAAACATTCTGAGAAGAGGTCGATAAGCTTACAGACTGTTGCCAAATGAGGTCTATGCCAAAAAAATAAAATCACAGGGCAGCGGTGGATGGAGCACAAGCACTGGAGTCAGGAGGAGGTGAGTTCAAATGCAGCCTCAGACATTTGACACTTACTAGTTGTATGACCCTGGGTAAGTCTTAATCCCAATTGCCTCACCTACACAAAACAAACAACAGAAGAAAAAAATGGGGTCCATGACACAAAAAAGAGTTTTTTAAAAAACCCTATTAGACATGACGAGTTGCTCCAATGCAAATGGACATTGTATTGTTTGCATCTTTCCCTAAAACGTTGCACAGCCTCCTAAATAAGATCTATAATCATTCAAAAGATTGGGACTGTACTATCAACACAGGAAAAAAAACAAGTAGGTTAAGAATGCTGGTTGTCCAGATGAGGTTATGTTCAGCTAGGCGAATGACACATGCAGTTGATCCATCAGGACCTCTGTCTTGGAAAGATGTTTCCAGTCATCCGTGGGCTGCTCCGAGAAATGTAGAGAAGAAATCGAGCTTGGTGGATTTGATTCATTTGGAAACTGATAAGTGCTTTCAATGATCCCCACCTTCTTCCTGAAATAAAAGTCCATCTTCAGAACACCAGGGATTTTGTGTGACTGGAAATCATGCAATACCACAATATCCAAAGATTGAGAGTTCTTGTGAGTCACCCAAAGGGCAGGAGAGAGGTGTGTGATAATTCCAAATAGCCTTCAGTATATTCTAAGCAGATCACTGTGCACAAGCAGCAATATAAAGGAAATAATCATGGGGGGGGGGGGCGTTATGATTAGAAAATCAGACGTCCTAATCAGGTAGCAAGATTGGTGTGCTATATCGGTATTTATGTAATGTCAAATCTGGAGGAAGGTCCCCAGTAAGTAGACCTGTGGAGGTTTTATAGGAGCATCTGAACAAAAGTAGTGAGTGCTGTGCTGGGTTATAATTTGCACCTTGAAGGGGGTTGGGGGCGGGGGTAGCACTCACTTTTATTTAACTACAAACTTATTAAATATTAAAGAGGCAACCAGTAAGGAACAGGCTTGGGAATGAGTAAAGATGAAAAACAGAATGTGCCAATGTGCCACAGACCTCTAGTAAACATTTTTGAAAGAATTCATGGTGACATGGCCTCAACATTTCAGTATTCACCAAATCACATTCTTACAAGAACCATTTCGCTATTATATCTCTGATGGCTTTTCCACATTGCAAGATGAGGACTTTATATATATATATATATACATATATATACACACACACCTTTTGTAAAACTATTGAACTCTTATCACATTAAGCAAGCTTCAGACTCCTCCACACTTGGAAAATTCATATTAAGAGCTATGATAGTAGAAAAGCTCTTTTTCACATAAAGAAAGTTTGTTTCACCAAGAAGTTATGAAGATAAGACTTGCTCTAGGTGTATCTTTTTTTTCAGCATGGATAATGGTAGTTACATGAACTAAAAAATATCCAAAAATAATGATAGAAATCAGTGTTTTTTTTTTAAATTAATGGAGTACAAGAGATAGGTTAAGAGAGCATTTGATTCAACTCAAAGACAAAGTCTGTTTCTAATAGTACTGGGACATTGTGAGTTCCAGAGATTGTCCCATAGAAATATTGGGACAAAATTTTTAAAGCACCAGTTATTAGTGGGGGGGGATGAATTGAACCTATTTCATCTGCATTTAGTTGTATTTTATATTGTTTGGATTAATAGTAAACTTGAAGGACTTTATTCTACTTTTAAGCTAAATTTTCTTTTTAAAGTGCCTCACATTGCTGTGTAACAGCTTGGCTTTAAAGTTGAACTTTTCCACTCCACTTATTTTCTTTCCAGTCTTTTTCGTTGTTTACATAACTTAATGCTTGATACAAGTTCACCTTATTTTGAAGAACAGTAAAATTGTTTCAAATTTTAAGCACTTCATTTGCATTTGATTTAGGAACTTTATTCAGCTCAATATTGTAGGAGGCATATTTTTCTAACATTTCTGACGTTTAGTACATTTTTATTGATCTCATTAAAGGTAATAGGAGAAAAGATTAGAAACTCAGTTTTGCCCTTCTAAATGGTAGTCATTTTGCCCAGAATTCTATGTTGAGAAACATGACTACACAGAACGAAATTTTAAGTACTGTATTTAATAGATGAATATCTTACTGCTCTGACATTTTGCACATAAATTTATTTAGTGGAAGGGGAAACCATCTTTAGAGACCATAGTCTAACCGCAGAGTTACCTTATTCTATGGACTTAAACGTAGAATGTTTAGATTTAGCCTAGCATATTGAAGTGGCTAGCATATAGCAGGACAGTACAAGAGTGAGATAAAGGTAAAGTGATCTATGAGCTTTTACAGTCATTGTAAGAATTTGGATGGGTGGTGGACGTGAAGAGGGAACAATTTAATTTTGCAAATTATTAGCAGTGACACAGTTAAATAACTTGACCAAATTCCACTTAACATGCATTTGTTAAGTACTTACTGTGTGCCAGGGCCTGTATTAGGTGCGGGAATACAATGACAAAACAGTCCCTGTCTTAAAGGAACTTCATCATCAGAGGACTAACATATGCTAATAATAAATATAATATATATACAAAGCTCGTAGAAAGAGATTTCCAGTGCACTAACAAAGTAGGGGTGGGGCTTGGGCAAAGGGATTTGGATAGGTTTTTTTCTAGGAAATGGCATTTGAGCTAAGTTTTGAAGGAAGCTTGGCATTCCATAAGAAACTAGGAACACAGCTCTGGAGTTCTTAAGCCTCTTTGATTTACATAGTATCTGCCATCCTTTGAAGGGTTGTCCTGTCAGCCCCAGAGAACAGAACCAGGGAACAGGTGGAAACTTCGAAGAGACAAATTTAGGCCTGCTATAGGGAAGTATTTCCTCATAATGAGAGCTGTGCACAAGTAGAAAGAGCTGCCTCCAGAGGTTATGGGTTTCCCATCACTGAAAGTCTTGCAGCAGAGACTGGATGACCACTTGCCAGATCGAGTAGGACTTCATTTCAGGGAATGGGTTTGATTAGATGACTAATTTTTTTTTTCTATTTTATTCATTTGTTGGGCTGAAATATATTGCCTTCAGTCAAGCCAGCTAATAAGTGTAAGGCATTAAAATATTTATTAGACTGGAAAGAGGAAATAGCAGAGATAACTTTGCAGGACAAAGGGAGCTATATGTCAACATCTGAATTCTGAAATGAGAGTGATTTTTCTTATACTTGTTGAGCCATTCAGATTGAAGGTCTACAACTAACAGATTTCAGGACTCAGGTCTTCTCCTGTGATTCAGACAGGTGAAATTATTGCTAAAGTACAAATGCTTTAGGCCATTAAGTGCCTTGCTGGGCACCATAAAAGTGTCTCATCTAAATCATGAGTCAGTAGAAATCTTGACATAGCACTTGAATTGCTTTTAGCTTTATGGTGGCATGTTACATTTTTTTTTAAATTAATATTTCTAAGACATTGGCAAAAAAGCAGCTGTGGTTACAGAGCTTGTTGAAGCTAAATTTTAGCTTCTAAACACACAACTGAAACTGCAAATATCTGTTTTAATGACCAAGTTAAAACATTACTTAAGTAAGCTGTACTTAAGTATAGTGAATGTACTAAAACTTGGGTATGATTTTTTCTTTTACTAAAATATTTTTCTGAGAGCAGGCCATAATTATTTTTGTTTGAGGGGAACATGAAACCAGATATTTTCATGATGCTTTAATCTAGAAGAGGAAGATAAATTGCCATTGCATTCCTTTTAGTTATCTTCAAGTCCCATTACATGCAGCTCCTGTGTGTCCTTGATATGTTTTCTTTGTTGAAAAAGTTCCATAATTTACTGTTTAATCACATGTTAATGGTGAAACAACTGCAGTTTTCTTCATCATTAATGTATGAATTGTCATTAGACAGAAGTAGAAACATTTAGTAAATGGAAAATTCCACCTAATTTTAATACATTAAAATTTCATAAGGCCAACTCCATTTTGTTTTGTTTTGGGGGGGGGGGAACACCATTTTCTCTAACTAGCTTTAGCCTTTGTATATATGTGATTAACTTTATGTTCTGTAGGTATATGTATTTATCTCCCACTTAGAATATAAGCTCATGGTGAATAAGGATTGTTTTATTCTTTGTACTTGTATCTCTAGCACCTAACATTCAGTGCCTGATCCATAGTAGGCAATGAATAATACTTGTTGATTGAGTGATGGAATAGTCATTGAAAGAGCAAGGTCTTCAAGCAAGGTATGGAAGGAAAGTGCTTACTTCCATTTTGCCTCAGTGGTAAAGTGGTCAGGATTGGCACCAGTTCAGTCTTCTTTAAGTTCAGAGTCTCTTCATAGGAGATAACCTGAAGTGCAGAATAAAGAGGGTATCAGTGAAAGTAACCGTAGATGAGGCGAAATCTGAGTTTACTTCTTTCTCACCATATGATCTTTGTTATATTTACTCTCCTTTTTTCGAGAAAAAAAATCAAACATAAAATCTGAAAAGTTTATAAAAATCTACTATTTTCACATGTCTTCATCCCAGAATGCTGCTGTTTGTTTTTTCATTCCTGAGTACTTATTTTCTAATCTAAATTTTAATAATTTTTTAAAGGTATTATGAACTGGATCCTTGTAAAAGTCTCATAGACAATTTGAAAGACAAAGTGGTGATTGAGTATCCAACTTTACATGTGGTATTGAAAGGATCTAAGAATGACATGATAATCCTTGGCCAAGGTAAGTAGAAATTAATGTTTAAGTGTTAATGCTGTACTTATGTAATTCCACTAAATAAACAATAATTAAGAATACACCCTTACTAAATGATAGGAAAGAGTATTTTTGTTAATTTACCCTTTAATTGTCAGTATCTATTGCCAGGAAAAAAAAGTCAGCTTTAGTGAATATTCTGTTAAGTATATAGTTTTAAATCCTTTCAGCCTTTTATTTCCTTTCCTGATGTTGTATAGAACAATGTAGGACTAAATAAAATAGGCTCTTTCATCTCTTTGCTGTACATATTTTCCCACTTTTATTTACTTTATTTAATATTGACTAACTTATTACTAAGTTTTGATAGAGAGGGATCATAGTCACTAACAGAAGTTTCTTGTCTTACCTAATATTGTAAAGATTTTTTTTTTCTAGTTCTGTCAAGCCGCAAGACCAAACATTTACAAGGGTAAGGGAGGGTTTGGTGATGTGTACATTCCTGCTGAAAATTAGTGGCCCTCTTCAGTCCAGTGAGTGTCTGTACATGATTCTCTTTCTAGCTTGTCATTTACCAGATGAGAAAGTGACCATAGATTATGGCTGCAGAAAATTCCACTGCTTTTACCAAGTGACGAACCATATTGTGATTGTGATTATGATTTTGCTGACATAGCAGCATAGACGGATCAGGGACATTATATAGTGCAGGGTTGTAACCATCCTGACTTGATTTTGATTTTTAAATACAGAAGTAGCCTTTTCACTTAGAAAATAATTGATAAGTTAAGAATTGGATAAGTTACAGAAGAATGGGATTTAGAGCTGAAAATGACCTTACTTAAATTAAAGGTCATAGTATTTTTACAATAATATATGTAAGTCTCTTCATTATTGTACTCAGAGGGGGGCCAGCATTCATTTGCATAAATGCATGTTACTTGCTGTTTTAGGAGCTAAAAAGCACTGTTTAAAGTACAAAGCAAATGAATAAAAACAAGATTCTTACTGTAAAGAAACATGCTTTGCCTTATGGTGATTTAGAAGGCTAATAAGATTTTTTTTAAATTAATAAATACTATGCTCTCAAATGTAAGAAGCTGTCCACTAAAGCGGTCTTGTCGTTACTTGGTTAGCATAACCTGAGCTTACATAGTTAGTGATGTAATCTACATTTTCAGTGCATACAGTGTTAATGCTGGTGCTGGTAATCTTTGTTCCCTATCACACGCGTATAATAATGAAAAAAAATTATTCTTATTAGTTACTCCTGAAACATCTTTTGAGAGAGTCAGGTTAGAAATTTTCTCAACATGATTATGTCACCTCTCCTTCCATGCCTTTCCCCAGGGGCTGCATAGGGGGTGCGCCCACCACCTTTTCAGCTTCACTCCTAGAATCTCAAGCTTCTGACAACACAGCTGAGGTGCTCCCTCCTTCGTTGGCCTCTCTTACCCTCCCACCCCCCACCACGAGCCACATTGTCCCTCTCTTGGCGTTCCTTTGGGTTCTGTTGCATCTCTCTAGGTACACATTCCACATGCTCTGTTCCACGTGCTCTTAACCGCTCTTGTGCTCGTCTTTGTATCAGTGTGTAGGTAGTGCTTTTGATGAGTTTATTTAAATGATTTGGCTTGATGTCTACCTTTATAATTAGGCAGTAGGTCCTCTGTTCCTTCTCACTCGTCCTGTTCTCTCCTAACTAAACCTGCTGATTTTTTTATTCCTTGTTTCTGCTGCCTTTGCAGCTCCACTTTTGCTCAATTGAATGCACTTTTAGAGCTAGCATTCTAAAAGTACATTATATCTCTGCTTTTATTTCATTTTTGATACTTGAGTGGATCTGTGTGTCTACCTCTCAGGGTGGTTGTTAGGATCAGATGAGTTACTGTTTGTAAAGTCCATAGCACAGTGTGTGGCACATAGGAGATGCTTATTAAAAGCTTCTTCCCCTCTCCTTCCTCTCTTACGCAGGTGTTACTGTCAGCAGTGTAGTACATCCCATCCATTCCTGATCTTCCATGACTTTGTCCATGGCTTCCTGTGAGGGGGTCCTTGCCCCGGGGACCTTCCTCTACACCTCTTGATGTTGTATGGGGGAGGGCAGGAGGTATTATCGATTGATCATCCTGCCTTTTTTGGTCACATAAAAGTGTAAATAAATGTTTAACTTCTCTAACAAACTGTCCGTATTCCCAGCCTGTGCATTAAATTAAGCTTGGAATCCTTTTAAAAGGAAGATTCAGCAGTCTGTGCACAGTTCAATAACGACTTTTTTGCTTCTCATTTACTTCATTTACTTTATCCAGGCTCACAAGATACCACTACAGATATGAATCACAGTTATAAGGCAAACCATTTTAACAAACCATAGAAGACTTAATTAGTTTACCCCAAATACCCAGCTAATTCTTACATAAACAAAACATGTAAGCAACCTGGGGCTTGAAGATCTTAATTCTAACAAGATTTTTCTTATAACAAGATTTGAATTAAGTTATCTTTTCCCTCCTGTTTGTGACACATCTTTTCTCTATTAAGTTAGTAGAGAAAGATGTGTCCTTAAATTGACCAGAATTTGGCAGTGTCATAACTTGGAACAAACTCTTGAGATTCCTTAGTTATAAATTGCAGATCCCTAAATGCTATAGTCGCTCTTATTTTATACGGTCATATTTCTGTGACTATTATTCTATATGCTCAGAATAAATCACAACTTAAGCTTTGAATGACAAGTTTTATTTTTAATGTTATGTAATAATTTCATTTCTTTTATTAATATGCTTCACACTGTTCTGTCTAAATGTTGGTTTCACTGAAAGCTGTATAGCACTGGCCAGTGCAAACATGTCTGTGTAAATAAACACATCGAACACAGCTTCTTTTTTCACCTTGTTTAGGAATGCAAATGAAAGTAGGGTTTCCTGTAAAAAGCACAAATAAAGGGCAGCTTGATGAATACTTGAAATCTTTCAGGTCCAAGGTTGCCATTTTCTGATGGGTGTGTAAGGCTTGATGAACTATGGGTGCTGTGCTTTTAGTACATAAGGTTATTTATAGTGGAGGGAGACAAAAATTTAGGTTTGATTCTCAATTTGTCAGTGCTGTATAAAAGCCCCAGAAATAATTGTGTGCTCTTCCTACATATATCTATGTACATATATATATGTGTGTGTGTGTGTGTGTGTGTGTATAGATAGATAGATAGGTAGCTAGATAGATATATAGATAGATAGATATAGATATATACACACACCATTGTATGAGCAGTTAGAAGCTTCTTCTTTGTAGCTCTTGAATTGTGGGATTTTTGCCAGGGTGGTCTAGCTAATGGCCTAGATTTAGGAATTTGGGAGAACCAAAGACAGCATTTTCTTTGGAAAGGCTTTGGAATTCCTCCCCCTCTCCTAAGACAAAATGTTAAATTGTTGGTCTTGAATTTAAAGTACAAGGTGTCTCTCTTCACTTTGGCTCTAGCTACGGTGGTGGGGACAGGGGGATGAAATGTGGTTCTGGGCTGGAATTCAGCAGTTTTCACACTTTGCTTCTGTTAAAATGTTTTTTATGGTCATAGATTGCCAAAACTTACTTTTGAAAAGTCTGCCTTCATTGATGGGGCAGTAGGTAAATTGGGTTTGTTGTTGTTAATTTTAAATCTAGAAGAAAATGGTTCGGTGTTCATTAGCACATTGATGAAATTGTGCTGATTACCTTTGAGTTAAAATGAAAAATTCTCCATGTGGTGTTTCTTTCAAGGGCCTCCACTTGCCAAAAGTAGGACTGTTTAGCACATTAGTCCAAAGAAAAACCACACTTTTTACCCAAATCTAACCAATGCAAAGGCCTGATGAGTAAGAGAATGAGAACAAAAGTAACAAAGTAACAAAGACCAAGAGAGCAGCGAAGATAAAAATTAACTTTACTTGAATTTGTAAAATCTTTAAAACCTTCACCAGCCTATTTTTATGATGTGATTTTGGGTAATTGTGTTTTGGTGTGTACTTATTTTTTTCCTTCAGAGAAACATCATTTGGGGGAGCAAGCTGTATTCAAACCAATACATGAAGTTGATCAAATCTATGCCACTTTAAGATACAGACTGTGAGCAAGAAAGAGGATCTTGGGCTCTTTGAGTTGGAAGGGATTTCACAGGGTTCTGGCCCAAACCCAACCCTAATTACAACTAAGACATCACCTGTCTGTGCTGGAGTACTTTCCAGAGCAGGGACCTAGCACTGTGCCATTTGTTCTTTACGTTTTTCTTCCTCTGAGCCAAAGTCTTCCCCTTCATCCTCCATTTTGCATTCATCAGTCCCAGTTCTGTTCCTCAGGGCTAACCAGGAGAAGTTTAATCTCACTTTTACAGGATAATTCTTTTAAGTATTTGAAGATTCTTACATCCCTCCCTTTCCTTAAACTTTCTCCCCATTTCTTTTTCACTCATCCTCTTGTAGAAGGGTTTCAAGTCATTTGCCAGTCTGGTCGCCCTCCTGAATACATTCCTACTTAGCAGTGTCCCTTGTAATTTGTGTGGGCCACAGCTGGACCCAGTACTCTGGGATGTGGTCTGACCAAGGCAGTGTGCAGTGAGAGAGACAGTCGGTCCAGAGGAGAGAGAAGAGCGGTGGATTTGGAGTCCGAACGCTGGCCTGGCATCTCAGCCCTCTTGTTCTTCCTGCTGTCCTACTTGGAGGCACCTTGGAGCACTGGGCCTGGACTCAGTAATACTGAGCCAAGTTCAAAGCCCACCTGACACTTACCAGCTTTGTGACCCTGGGCAAGTCACTTAACCTCTGTTTGCTTGAGAATAACAGCAGCACCAATCTCCCAGGGTTGTTGTGAGGGTCAGATGAGATAATATGTAGCACAGTGCTTGGCACATAGTAGGTGCTATAAAAATATTCATTCATTTCCCTTGCTGCTTTTGTGACCTTGGGCAGGTCACTCTGGGCCTCATCATTTTGGTGTGTAAAATGCCCGCCAAGGCCCCTTGCAACTCTGAGCTCTCTCTGTGGTCTCCCTCACTGTGGATGCTGTGTTTCTCTGAATACAACCCAAGGGAATAGATCCGGCCTGAGGGCATTCAAACAAGCTACTACCCCTCCCCAGGTCCACCTCCCCCACACTTGATAAGTATACCATCATCTCTGTTTCTCATAATCCTCTTTTTTTCTTCATGGTTTCCTCTCCTAGACCACAATTGTTAATGTTGTACCCTCCCTCTACAAATTGCCTCGTCATCGTTTTATCACCTATACACGATGTATGCTTCTTCCCAGAAAAAGAGATTTACTGCGCATTTACTTTGTACAGAGAGTTGGGCTAAGTGCTGGGAAAGACAGCCCTTGCCCTCAGGGAACTTATATTCCTGTGGGAGAAGACCTTACACACTAGGAACCTGCTAAGAGGAAGGGGAGGAGGTGGAGAAACAGTCCTGGGGAATTGCGAGTTTATCTGGCTTTGAAGAGCGTGTAATCTTGAGGGCAGAGATGGTTTTGTATTGCTCTTTATCCCCAGACAAATACCTTACCTAATAAGTGTTTCCTGAATTGTTTGAATTGAATTGAAGTGAATTAGCTCCAGTAGCTACCATGTACTGACTCGTTCACCTTGAAATTCACCAAAACTTAAAGGTTTTCTTTCCTCTGAGTTCCTTTCTAAGCAGCCTTCATTTTCCTATGCTCTGCAGTCGATTTGTTTTCTTTTTTACCCAAATACAGGCAGGACCCTATTACATTTTGTTTTTGTTACCATCAGTTCACCATTCTAGCCTGTCTGTCTCAATTCTGCCATCTGTTGTCATTGTATTAAGCTATGTCTCCAGCATTATGTCAGAGTAAAGACAGTTAAAAGGAGAAGCCAGGAAACCCAAATGGCCACAGGAAAAAGCCCTATAGGAATGAAGAAAACATCCTGTGTTTAAAAAATAAATAAATAAACGTGAGCCAGGTACCATATTGCCCTTTGGGAATACAAACACAAAAGAAACAGGCCTTGCCCTCAAGGAGCCTACATTCGAAAAACAGGAAGACCTCTCCTGTGAGGGAGTGAAGGCCAAGAAGGATGTTTTGGTCCAGAAAGTCCCATGGGTATTTAATAAAGCTATAGGGCAGTAGTTGATGTAACCTTTCCCAGAAGCAATGGTAAAGTGTTGTTAGACCAAACTCGAATAGGAACAGATATCCCTGTGGGCTGCATGCTGACTTACAAAGCTGCAAATTGACATTATGTTATATTGCATTTTGATTTATTTTGTGAAACATTTTCCAATTACATTTTGATCTGGTTTAGCCTGAAGGGATGCTGCCCTGGGCAAAGTTTGATCCCTGTGGTGTAGAATGCCATTAACTTGAGAAAAAAAATTCAACTTTTCTGCCTTTCTACAAATAAAACATAAGATTAGAAAGGGCCACTGCCTTCTTGGCTTAAAGAAAGAAAGTCACTTTAAAATGGAGAACGTGGCACAGAACGGCTGTCATCTGCTCAGATCATGTGCCACCCTCAAATTGGGCTCCTGAGGGTGGGGGTGGGGGGGGCCAAGGCGGGGAAGGATGGCTTTTTTTTTTTTCCCCTAGTGGGATTTGGTTGGTAGAATACAACTCCAGGTCACAACAGTTGGTGCTTCTCATTTTGCCTTCCCCCCTCACCCAGGGTTTGTGGACTTGTAGAACTGTTACTCTTGCATTTATTAGGAGTTTGGGATTTAGCTAGTCTATTAGCCCACGTCTTTATGAATGTACCCTGAGCCCTCCTTTTTTTTCAGAGGACAAGAAGCAGTTAAATCTTGGAAAAATTTATTCCAACCACCCTTGAATATCCTGTATAATAATAGTGATCTATTCAGTGCCACTTGCATGGAATCATAACACACTGAGAAGTGACCATTCTCGAGTCCTCCCTGTAGTCAGGAAGGATGTTACCTCACAAAGTAATTGGCACTTTCAGTCCCTGGGACTCTGTTTATCATGGCCAGAATGTACATCCCAGCTGCTGGCAGGGGAACGTGGCTTGTAAGGCCCATTGAGTCCCAGAGCTCGCATTTATTGCTCTTCCCAACTCATCATAAGGGAGAAGAAAAGTAGGTCTGAGAACAGTCGAATCAAAAACGCTGTAAATACATGACTATATATTTACTTACTTTTCCAGAGAGAAATGAATCCACTGAGAGTTTTGGCAGTGAAAATCCGGCACTTTCTTCTGAGGAAGAAGGTGAAATCCAAGAGAGTTCCTGAGGAATATGCATTGGTTGTCTACTTTGGGAAAGGAGCACCTTTGGTTTTGGTTTTTTACTTTTAAATTTAATTTTAAAATTACGTTACGAATTATTTTCCTGACCCAGTTTTCATGTGAAGTGCCCGGTCAGTTTACAAGGTTTTTTTCCCACTTTTTCTTTGATCATCATAGAACAAATTTGTTCCCATTTTTGTATGCTTAGTATAGCAGGCTTATAAACTTTAATATTTAATATCTAACCTTTATTTAGAGATTTGGAAGTGTAGCAACTCAGATTCTTGCTAACCAGTGAAAGATTGGTGCATAAAATACATGGTTTAAAAGAATCTGGCTCCATGTGGGTTCGAATATTACTATGTGTATTGATCCTGGAGCAATAATCCATTTTTTTTTTTTACTGCATGTGTATCTTTTCCATCTTGAGGGAAGGAAAAAGCAATATCTTATAATTGAGTAGATTAATCTGTAAGGCACCTAATGTAAACAAATGAGGACTTTGGTAAAATATCACAGAAGGAAACCACTGTTTCTGCTGTTTGAGCCGTCAAAGTGTTTGCTCTCCTTACTAGGAATCATAAGTGTTTAATGCCATCTTCCCTTCCATCACCATCACATGCTTATCCCCTTTAATTTCATTAAAGGATGTATTGAGTAGTTGGGTTTTTAATTTGTTTATTTTCCATTCCTAGCAATACCTGAAAAACTTGGAATCTGTGCTATAGAAATGTACATATGTGTATTTATTATATAGACACTTTAAATTTTTATCATATGGTATCTTTGTAAGCCTTATGATTTCACTTGTTGGAATTGCAAAGTTTTCCTAATTTTACTGGAATTTCTTAAGTTGTGAAATGACTGTATAGATTAAAAGATTATTCCATCTGCATTGCATCTGTGTATTGAGTGATTTTAAAAGGGAGATAAAAAGGACATTGTTGAATTCATGGTTGTTTCAAAATTGGAAGGAGATCTAGAAAATAGTGTGGGGCCCTAGGAAGACTAAAAATATGTAAGGATTATAGAAGGATGAATTGAAAGGAAAGTATTACAATAGCCACTATAGTAACTGGGAAAGAAGAAATCTAGAATATGGTGATGTTCAGTGAGTCTCTGGGTGAAAGATAAGTAATGATTTAAATAAGATTCATACAGAATAAGTAAGACTTTACATCTTAAAAAGAATATATTCCTCTTTTGCTCTGTTTTTGATTGTCTTTCCCCTTCTTCCATTATAAAAACTTTCCATTTGAAAAGTAAGATAGCAGAGAGACAACTAAAGATTGAGATCTCAGAGAATTCCTTTATGGGGAACGAATAGATGGGTTTTAAATTAATTTGCAATTTGACTCAACTCTACGTTGGAATGAGACAAAACTGAGTTAAGTGAGTAGTATAAATACTATGAAAAGAGTTAGTAAGCATGCCACAGAGACACAATTGAGAGAAGTGGGATAAAGTACACAGAAGGAACATGTGATCTGAATATCAGGGTAGAAAGGAATTTCCTGACAGTGAAATCTGCTGGGCTGTAGATTTATTTCCAAGAAAAGTGTTAAGAGTTCCATCTTTTGTGGAATTTAAATGTGGACTGGATAAAACCCAAAGTATTTATCCTGTACTTTCCCCTCCCCAGGGGAAAGACTCCATCCATGACCAGTAGCATCTTTGCCATCCCTGATTTCTAGAATTCCATTTCTTAAACATTCCCACCGTAAATTAGTCCTGCAGAAAGGATCCACTAACATTCTCCTCTCCCCCTATCTGAATACACATTTATTCACTATTTGGGATTTAGATGTGCTCATACAGCCCTTTGCCATAGGTTTCCAAAGAGGTGGGAATGGGAGTGAGGGGTTTTATTTGCTAATAGTCCAGAAAATTTTAGAGTTTTCTTCTAAAATCTTGAACTTTTCTTTTGATGGTCATTCTGTCTTTCCATTTCTGGAGTCTTGACAGGTTTTTCTAAGCAAACTGACTTACATCAATTTCCGCATGCTGCATTTCACAAATCACACTCAGTACACAAGAGGTGAACAGGGTTTTCATTTTATGTGTTTGTAAACATTGAGTTCAAAGGGAAACTGGGGCTTCCATAATTGCTAATTATTGCATAAAGGTTTATTTAATAGCCACAAATTACTGTAAATATGACCTACAGCTGTTCTTATTATAAATATGAATTAAAGATCACAAGGAATTATTTCAATAGGTATTATAATTACTAAAGCTTAGTTAGCAGCCAATTTGTTTCACCTGTAGCAAATAATGGGATTCAAGGTTCTTGGTGGCTATTAAAATGCTTCTCTCTCCCTCCCTCTCTCTCTCTCTCTCTCCCTCCCTCTCTCTCTCTCTCTCTCCCTCCCTCTGTGTGTGTGTATGTATGTGTATATATATATATATATATATATATACATACACACACACACCTTTTAATATCATTTTGTTAGGGGATAGCATTTTTAAAAACTTGCAGCTTTTTTTGTTTCTCTAAATTTTTATTGTGCAGAAATGCATTCTATTTTTTTGCATCACTTACAGACTTTTAAAATGAATAATGTCCTAAAATGATTTGTTTTATCTTTAGACAAATGGTTTACTTATTCAGAGTTTAGTAGCAAAAAGCATCTTTATGATTTAAAGTAATTTTTCTAAAGGTAATTAAGAATATAACACAAGCTGCATCTATAAAATCCTAGATGCTTTACTGATTCATCTGAATTCTTAAAACTGTTTTCAGTTTCCATTTGGAACCTCCTTATTTGGGTTTGTCATAATACTGCTGATTTGAATAAGAGCATGTAGCTTCCAATTTTTTTCCCTGTTGCAAATTTGGAAACAGTTTCCAGTTTCACCAACATTAAAGAAATATGTTTATTTTGAAATTCAAAGAGATGTTTGGTACAATATGCTTCAAAAGTAAAAGACTACTTCAGTATAAAAGTGTGTGCATATGTGTGTATATGCGCACATATATATGTATACATAGACTTTTTTTATATGTGTATATGTGTATATCTCCATCCTTAGTGAATCTGTACTTTGAAGGACAAAGTTTGTGTAGTGAAAGCCAGCTAAAGTGTGGCTGCATATGTTCTTTGAAATTTCAGACATTTCCCAAAGGGGAAGGGGTGCCTTGCTCATAGCCCCTCCTGAATGATACAGCCCACCAATATTAAAATGTGTCCCTTACTCTTGATGGCTGAAATAGGCACATTATAGTCTAGCAAGTTTTTTTTTTGTTGTTGTTTTTTTGGGTTTTTTTGGTACACATGTACTGTACCAGCAGTGGTTAAGGAAGAGCTCCAGCTTCATGGTTAGAATAAATAGGTAAAACATTAAGGGCTCGATATGTGCTGGGCAGCAGGTATACAAATACAAGCAGTAAGACAGTCCCTACCCTCAAGTAGCTTGCATCCCAGTGGGGGAGGTCAATCCAAAAAAGGGCGTAGAAAAGCAGGGTGGGAGGGAAGGTGTGTTGGTCGGTCAACGTTCTTGAAGCTTCTGTGTACCAGGTGCTAAGTGTTGGAGATAAAAAAAGATTTCAAAACCAAGTCCTGCTCTTAGGGATACCACAGCCTCAATGGGGGAGACGTGGAAACAACTGTGTATAAACGAGATGTACATATATATAATTATTAATCATAACATTAAATATAATTAATTATAATATAATAAATATAAATAATATAAATATAAATTATTATTAAAAATATAATATTATATATATAAAAACAAGACAAATTGAAAATACCAGGGAAGGCCCTAGAATCAAGGGGAATCAGGAAAGGCTTCCTACGAAGGTGGGATTTTAGCTGACACCTAAGAGAAGTGGAGGTGGGGGAGGAGAGTGCTGGAGGCCAAAGGGACAGGGACGGTCTGGAGATAGCTAAGAAGTTAAATGAAGACATGGATACTGACCCAATAAACCAAAGCTCCCCTCTCCGAGCCTTCGGTGGCCAGAGTGGAGGCAGCCTGTCTGGAGGTGGCTGGGCAGTGTTCAGCAGCTTCCTTACAGGCGTCCTTCAGGCCCCAACTCAAGTACCACCATCTGCAGAAGCCCTTCCACCTTCCTTCTAAGATTATCTCCAATTTATCCTGTCTCCAATTCTTGTTTTTGTACATGGTTTACACATTGCCTCCACCATTAACCTGGTGAATTTTTTGGGAACAGAGACTACCTTTTTGCTCTTTTTTTTTTTGTATCCCCAATGCTTAGTAGGTGCTTAATAGATGCTTCTCTAATTAGAGCATAACTGTTGCATGATAGGAACCATTAAAAATCAGCTGTCTTCTGTTCACTGGGCATTCGTTCCAAAGGCAGACTATTTTCTGTCCCAGTTTGCAGTGAATAGAACAATTTGTTTCTCCAGCTTGAAACTGGAAATGTCTGTTATAATAATCATTTCAACTTTAACCCTCTTTTATTATTTGAAGAAAAAAAAAGTTATTCAGTGATTTGTGAAATTGTTTTCTTGGAAGATTTTGGTTCCAAGCCTTCCTTTATCCTGAGTATTTTCAGCTCCTGCTTTGAATCTTGCCCGAATTCGTTGCTTGTTTGAACTTTAAAACTACTCCTCACTTAAGTTTGAATCCAACTGTCACTGCCATGGTATGTTTCACAGTAGGATCCAGGGTATTAGTATCATTGAAATATATGCTCATCCATATTGGACACTGTATTAAGCAAGTTAAAGTGTCCCAATATTTCTAACCAAAGACCAAAAAAAGGATTAGATTTATCTTTAAAGTTCTTTTTTAGCTCTAAATCTGTCCTGTAATCCTATATACAATGTAGTGTAGAAACAAGGAAAAAGTGGAAGGAAATAAAGACAAGCTGTCTCCATAAACAAACTTAGAATGTCATTAACATTTCAAATGATTGTTATTTGAGAGTAAGGAGTCTTTTATCTCTTCACACACACATACACACACCCTCTTCCCCCCCCACCACACACACACACACACACACACACACACACACCCCCTCTTCCCCCCCACCAGCTGTAGCAGTTTATAAAAATTTGTTGAATTTGAATTTGCTACTGTTTGTTTTGTTAATGAGCTAAAGGGAGTGTGTTTGGTGGGATAGGAAATAAAAGTGAAAGTCATGGGGGCGGGAGAGGATGCATTTAGCCAGGGTGGGCTTGGAAGGAAGTAACCCTGTCCAACTAACTTAGAAGCCAGGAAAAGTTCTATGGAGGAAATGGGATTTCAGGGGCTGTTTGTTTGAAGAGAATTTGGAAGGAAAGCCCTCTGAAGTCAGGGAATCCTGGAAAAAAAAGCTTCAGAGGTGCAAATGGAATAGTTGGATGAAGGACCCTAAACCTGCAAAGACCGGTCCTGATCCTTAGTACAAGTGTGCGTGCTCTGATAGACTTAGCCAAGTCAGGGAGAAGGGGTTTGGGGAGCTGTTACATTTGGGAGAGGAGTATTCTGAGAAAGGTTTACTGTCTTTTGGAGAAAAAGAGGAGTCACAATTTTACATAGGCTCAATAGTAGTTTCACTTTTCATATCGGAAAACTTGCATGCTCCCAGGTTACAGCTGAACAGATTGGGTTATTTTTGCTGTGAAATATGATTGTTATACACCACCTCGAAACCACCATGATTTTTTTTTCCTGCTCCTTGAATAGCTGGTTCTAGTCAATCCATATGGTATGAATTTGTTGTGGTAAGAAAGTCCCTAAAGTCCAATAACCAACTATTTTTCATGGAACCCTGTGGTCCTGTCCTTGACTGCAGCTCTGTATGCCTGAAGAAAAACAGCCTTGCTCGGAACTGAATTTGAAAAAGGATCTGATCGTTGGTTAACCAACCTCTGATGACGCTGTGCTTTTAGGGCCCTCTCCAACTCAGAATAGA